ATAAAATACTGGCAAACCGAATCCAGCAGCACATCAAAAAGTTTATCCACCATGATCAAGTGGGCTTCATCCCTGGGATGCAAGACTGGTTCAGCATACACAAATCAATAAACGTAATCCAGCATATAAACAGAACCAAAGACAAAAACCACATGATTATCTCAATAGATGCAGAAAAGGCCTTTGACAAAATTCAACAGCCCTTCATGTTAAAACTCTCAATAAATTCGGTATTGATGGAACGTATCTCAAAATAATAAGAGCTATTTGAATGGGCAAAAACTGGAAGCATTCCCCTTAAAAACTGGCACAAGACAGGGATGCCCTCTCTCACCACTCCTATTCAACATAGGGTTGGAAGTTCTGGCTAGGGCAATCAGGCAAGACAAAGAAATAAAGGGTATTCAATTAGGAAAAGAAGAAGTCAAATTGTCCCTGTTTGCAGATGACATGATTGTCTATTTAGAAAACCCCATTGTCTCAGCCCCAAATCTCCTCAAGCTGATAAGCAACTTCAGCAGTCTCAGGATACAAAATTAATGTGCAAAAATCACAAGCATTCTTACACACCAAAAACAGACAAACAGAGAGCCAAATCGTGAATGAACTCCCATTCACAATTGCTACAAAGAGAATAAAATACCTAGGAATCCAACTTACAAGGGATGTGAAGGACCTCTTCAAGGAGAACTACAAACCACTGCTCAATGAAATAAAAGAGGACACAAACAAATGGAAGAACATTCCATGCTCATGGATAGGAAGAAACAATATCATGAAAATGGCCACACTGCCCAAGGTAATTTATAGATTCAATGCCATCCCCATTAAGCTACCAATGACTTTCTTCACAGAATTGGAAAAAAATACTTTAAAGTTCACATGGAACCAAAAAAGAGCCCACATTGCCAAGACAATCCTAAGTCAAAAGAACAAAGCTGGAGGCATCATGCTACCTGACTTCAAACTATACTACAAGGCTACAGTAACCAAAACAGCATGGTACTGGTACCGAAACAGAGATACAGACCAATGAAACAGAACAGAGCCCTCAGAAATAATACCACACATCTACAACCATCTGATCTTTGACAAACCTGACAAAAACAAGAAATGGGGAAAGGATTCCTTATTTAATAAATGGTGCTGGGAAAACCGGCTAGCCATAAGTAGAAAGCTGAAACTGGATCCCTTCCTTATTCCTTATAGAAAAATTAATTTAAGATGAATTAGAGACTTAAATGTTAGACCTACAACCATAAAAACCCTAGAAGAAAGCATAGGCAATACCATTCAGGACATAGGCATGGGCAAGGACTTCATGTCTAAAACACCAAAAGCAATGGCAACAAAAGCCAAAATAGACAAATGGGATCTAAATAAACTAAAGAGCTTCTGTACAGCAAAGGAAACTACCATCAGAGTGAACAGGCAACCTACAGAATGGGAGAAAAGTTTTGCAATCTACTCATCTGACAAAGGGCTAATATCCAGAACCTACAAAGAACTCAAACAAATTTACAAGAAAAAAATCCCATCAAAAAGTGGGCAAAGGATATGAACAGACACTTCTCAAAAGAAGCCAACAGACACATGAAAAAATGCTCATCATCACTCACCATCAAAGAAATGCAAATCAAAACCACAACGAGATACCATCTCACACCAGTTAGAATGGCAATCATTAAAAAGTCAGGAAACAACAGGTGCTGGAGAGGCTGTGGAGAAATAGGAAACTTTTACACTGTTGGTGGGAATGTAAACTAGTTCAACCATTGTGGAAGACAGTGTGGCGATTCCTCAAGGATCTAGAACTAGAAATACCATTTGACCCAGCCATCCCATTACTGAGTATATACCCAGAGGATTATAAATCATGCTGCTATAAAGACACGTGCACATGTATGTTTATTGCAGCACTATTCACAATAGCAAAGACTTGGAACCAACCCAAATGTCCATCAATGACAGATTGGATTAAGAAAATGTGGCACATATACACCATGGAATACTATGCAGCCATAAAAAAGGATGAGTTCGTGTCCTTTGTAGGGACATGGATGCAGCTGGAAACCATCATGCTCAGCAAACTATTGCAAGAACAGAAAACCAAACACCGCATGTTCTCACTCATAGGTGAGAATTGAACAATGAGAGCACTTGGACACAGTAAAGGGAACATCACACACCGGGGCCTATTGTGGGTGGGGGGAGGGGGAGGGATAGCATTAGGAGATATACCTAATGTAAGTGACGAGTTAATGGGTGCATCACACCAACATGGCACATGTATACATATGTAACAAACCTGCACGTTGTGCACATGAACCCTAGAACATAAAGCATAATAAAAATAAAAAATAAAAAAAAATTAAAAAAAGAATATTAGACCCCTAATAGTTATTGTCAGATAATTCTGTACTTTTAGATATGAAAACAGTTATGAAAAGTCTAATTTATTGACTACTGGACTTTGGGATTTAAGAGACCACTTAAATATAACAAGCATGATAAAGTGGATGGCAACAATAAAATTATCAACTTAGAATTTTCTCATATAAAGATATTTCCTTACTCATATCTTATTCATAGAAGATAAAAATTAAACTGTAAATAATTAAAAAAAAAATAAAGTCCCAGTCAGAAGTCTGATTGATATTTAAGCAAGTTATTTAGCTTCATTTGTCTTAGTTTATCTGCTAGCTGGAATTAATAATGTTTACATCTGCTTATCTGAGAGAACAGTCAGGAGAAGAAATGCAAGCAAACCTGCCATAATAGAAATGGAAACTGACAAATTATAACATATCTTACTTTCTTTTGATAAGGATATTATAACATAAAATAGGTATAATAATACCTAGCTTTTATAGAGTTGCTTTGAGAATTAGAAGTAACGCATGTAAAACCTTTGCACAATGACATAAAATAGGAGACCAAGAAATTATAGGTATTATTTTTATCATTATTATTACTGAGAGACTTTGGAGTAATTTCTGTCTCCTGTAAAAGCGATATGACAGAACAGCTGTGCAAATAATGTACAAGTTCCTTGAAACTCATAGAAAACGTTCACGTCTCAAGCTTCAGGAGTCCATTGTGTTCTTGTTTGCTAAGTGAGAACACCACGTACAATGGAAGTGAGTCAGTTCTGTCCAACCTTCCTTAGGATGTTATAAAATTTGGCATAATGTTAATTAGCAGTAGTCATTGCTCTTTAAGCTCACAACGATGTATTTTATCAGAGCTGCATCACAAAATAAATAGGATGTTTATTTTTATCACCACACCTGTAGAGTCATCAATGATACAGAAGTCAGCCTAAGAAACTAAGAAACTCCCAAAGCAAACAATATAAATATGTCTCTATAGGCTTATCATTTGGCCAGTCTAAACATGTTACAAGTTTAAATGATCTTTTTAAAAGTTCTCTAGCTTTGTTATAGACATAAAGTATATTACACCTATCTAATATGTTTTCATCATCATTAGTCTATTTTATCTTTATACTGACCATATGAGAGATTTAAGTAGGTATCATGATCTCTATTCTACAAGCTGAAAAACTGAGATGTTATAACATTAAGCAACTTCTGCAGGGTCAGTGATTAAGACAGAACTATAATCCAAGTTTCTGGGTCTGGCTTCTTTCCACTGCATTTGGCTATTTTCAGATATCTCCAAAGCTCCAGGAAAATAAAATGCCTCTAAACAATCCACCATTTTTCAAAAGTGACTACAAATAATACATCCAGACAGATATAATACAAATTATTCTAGAGAATTGATCTAATCTTGCTATTAACAATATATAAAATGAGGCTGGGCGTGATGGCTCACGTCTGTAATCCCAGAACTTTGGGAGTCCGAGGTGAGTGAATCACCTGAGCTCAGGAGTTCAAGACTAGCCTGGGCAACATGACAAACCCCTGTCTCTACAAAAAGTACAAAAAATTATCCAGGTGTCGTGGTGTGTGCCTGTAGTCCCAGCTACTTGGGAGGCTGAGGCAGGAGAATCACTTGAGGCCAGAAGGCAGAGGTTGCAGTGAGGCAAGATCACGCCATTGCACTCCAGCCTGGGTGACACAGAGAGACCCTGTCTCAAAAATAAAATAAAATAAAATATATATATATATATATATATAGAGAGAGAGAGAGAGAGAGAGAGAAAATATATATATTATATATATAATAACTTGACTTCTCAGAAGAGAAACTTCAAAAATGCTAAAGATAAGAACTAATCCATGGGAAAACTGACCCCATGTAAGTGTGAAGGCAACAGGAAGAGCTTCAGGCCAGAAATCTGGAAATCTGGATTCCAGGCTAATTCTGGCTCTAATTGTGTGTATGACTTTGGATGAATTCCTTATTTCTGTAGTGTTCCAGTTTTATCATCTATAAAATAAAAGAGTTGGTCTAAGTGTAAAATTTAATTGGCAGAATGTTGAAATTCTCAAATCTGCAAATCAATAGTTGACTCCATTGATGGTGATATTCACTCCTTTAGTAATGATTTACTAGCATAAACACTGATACACATAAATACTAGCTAAAGCTAATAAAGTTTACAGTAGTGTTCTGTATAGAAAAACATGTAAACTATTCTTGTGAATAAGCTGCTATAAAATATAGGGTTGCACCAGCAAGCATTTTAGAGCCTTCTGAAGGTTAGAATTAAAGACATTTATGGGCTAACCAAAATGTCCTTGTCACTGCAACTTTTTAATTTTAAGAATAAATAGATTTTCATTTCCTTTTGTTTTTTTTTTTTTTTTCCTGAGACGGAGTCTCGCTCTGTCGCCCAGGCTTCAGTGCAGTGGCCCAATCTGGGCTCACTGCAAGCTCCGCCTCCCGGGTTCACGCCATTCTCCTGCCCCAGCCTCCCCAGTAGCTGGGACTACAGGCGCCCGCCACCACGCCTGGCTAATTTTTTGTATTTTTAGTAGAGATCGGTTTTCACCGTGTTAGCCAGGATGATCTCGATCTCCTGACCTCGTGATCTGCCCGCCTCGGCCTCCCAAAGTGATGGGATTACAGGCATGTGCCCCTGCGCCTGGCCGATTTTCATTTTCGTGCTCAGCTCATCCTGTGGTTTCCGGACACTGAGGAGAAGAAAACAAACCAAGATCATCCTGTGCCTGGAAGAGATCTCAGTTGTATGGAAATAATCAGCCAGTATGACCACCTACTTCTGGAAAAGCATCTGTAAGATGGGGGCGGGGGGGGGACTGTATCTCTTCACTTTGCATGCATAGTTCTCAATATGTATTTTTTTAATTGATTACCTTTTCCCCTTGAAGGATTTCCTAAAATCTATTTAAACTTACTTTTACCTGACCTATGTCCCAGAAATTGTCTTTTTTCCTATTGTAATTGCCATTTAAAGTAATAAAAAATACTTGGGGAAAAAGTTCATCTTTCTATAGCTTTATAAATATGGAGCAAATATATCTTCATTTGGTGAATGTCCATTTAAACCAGCATTGAGAGAAATGAATTATCATCTTCCACAAAAGATCATTGAAAAAAGACCAGTAAATGAATAATAGTGGATCCTTAATGCTGCCCTAAAGGAAGAAGAACAATTTCAGATGGCAGGAAAATAACTTTTATCTTTTGTTAAAAATTCAAACAATTATTTTACCAACACATACCATTGCAGATAACCTCAAAAAGAGTAAAACAAATTTTCAGAATTCTATACTTCTATACTAAAGAGTGCTCCAGAGGCAACTGTGGTGTTAATTTAATTAAAAATTGTTAATTCAAAATTCAAAATTGTTCCAAGTATAGGTTAGCCTCTCATGTAGTAAATATATAACCTAGGTTTTCTATGACCAGCCTAATATAAACAATTCTGTCCCACTCTATAAATAAGTGAACTTCAGCTTGTCAGACCATGATTTGGATATAATGTCATGATATCCACTGACCATATGGAAAATGCCTTCCCTTGGAAATACTCTAACCTCCTAGTACAGTAGCATAAAGAACTTATAAATACCATAAAGAACCAAAATATTATACTAATAATTCTTAATGATATTTCAACTTTTTTAGGACTATGAAAATCAGACACGGTATTTTTAATTTGCACAGTTGTCTTCCTGTTGATGTTGGTTTTCTAGTCTCAAATGGCTTGCAAATACGAAGTGAAGGTATCTCTATGCTATAGAGTTTCACCAGGTGACGTTTTACACTCCCCTGGCCTAAGCTACATCTCTGTGCAGATGGCTCTTTAATCTATACTTTGTAGTCTACTTTTTCTTTGACCTGTCTTATGAACTCCAGAACTCTATTTTTAGTTGACTTATCCAACTTACATCCTAAATTCAACAAAATCATACTCTAATCATCAGACATAGATCCTTCAGAGTTATTTCCTTCCATACACTGAGTAGTCCATTGGTCACCAAATTAAGAAAAACGTTCATAACCTTTACAGCCCTTCAAACCAAACTGTTATGCAGTCACCACAGGAAGGTGGTTCAACGCATGGATTTTTATGTCAGACAGAGCTGGGTTTTAACCACCATTTTTCCACTGCTGGTGTGAGAGTAGACTCGTTATTCAGTTTCTCTGAATCTCAGTTTTGGACAGATAATGGGGATAAGAAAACTATCCTTTAGGGCTGTGTGAGAATTTATTTATTTATTTATTTATTTATTTATTTTTTATTATTATTTTGAGACGGAGTCTTGCTCTGTCACCTAGACTGGAGTGCAGTGGCACAATCTTGGCTCACTGCAGCCTCTGCTTCCCAAGTTCAAGCGATTCTCCAGCCTCAGTCTCCCAAGTAGCTGGGATTACAGGCATGCACCACCATACCTGACTGACTACTTTTTGTATTTTTAGTAGAGATAGAGTTTCACCATTTTGGCCAGGCCAGTCTCGAACTCCTGACCTCAAGTGCCTCAACCTCCCAAACTGCTGGAATTACAGGCATGAACCACTGCACCCGGCCCTGTTTGAGAATTTTTTTTTTTTTTTTTTTGAGATGAAGTCTTGCTCTTGTCCCGCAGACTGGAGTGCAATGGTGCGATCTCGGCTCACTGCAACCTCCGCCTCCCGGGTTCAAGTGATTCTCCTGCCTCGGCCCCCGAGTAGCTGAGATTACAGGTGCCTGCCACCACGCCCGGCTAATTTTTGTATTTTTAGGAGAGACGGGGTTTTACCATGTTGGCCAAGCTGGTCTAGAACTCCTGATCTCGGGTGATCTACCTGCCTCGGCCTCCCAAAGTGCTGGGATTACAGGCATGAGCCACTGCACCCGGCCCTGTATGAGAAATTTAAAAGGTAACACATGCTAAGAAATTAGCATAGTACCCAGGGTGCTCAGAGTACGATCATCATCATCTCTCTCTTTTGTAGACAACTATAGTAAATAACTTTGATAGTCTCACTGCTTTCTCTTTTCTTCTCTTAGTCCCTCCTACAATCTACACTACCACAGTGAAGATCTAACTACAGTACTCTCTGAATTAAAAGCGTCCTGGTTGCCAAGGGAAAATTATAACTCTGTACTGGGGAAATGAAGCTGCTCTCACTGCAATCCAATGATCAAACTTGGCACCACTAATCATGGTGAAATCTTACATGTATTATCTCTTGAAGTGAAAAACGGGATGTACCCAATATTGCATGTGTTATATTAAAGAAAAAAATGTTTTACTAGAATCTACTCAGGCTTATAGGTCTAATTCACACTTGATATGAAATACAAAGAATAAAGTAAGAAGCTAAACAATACAAACAAACCAGAGAACCCAGAAGGTAAAAGATGGGCATCTGCACTGGTCTTTAAAGTTAGTGACTGCCAAAAAGTAAGGGGGAGGGAAGGAGCTAATCTAAGTTAAAACAGGTTCAAGGACCATAACAACAAATATAATAGTGGTCCCGGATTGGAACCAGATTTTGACAAAGCAACTATAAAGACATTTTGGGGACCACTGAGACATTTTTAATATAGACTGAACAACAGACAATGTTAAAGAGTTATCTGTATTTAACAATTTGATAGTGTTATTTGTTTATATAGAAAAACGGTTTTTTTTAAAGATACAACCTAAATCATGATAGGTAAAATTATGATATTGGCAACTTTGAAGTACTACAGAATTAAAATCAAAAAGTAAATTTTAAAAGTCTACAATTTGAGTACATTACCATCGTCCATAAAATAATGCCACTAAAATGGAAATACAATGTGAGCCATATATGTGATTTAAATTTTCTAGCAACCACATTTTTAAAAAGTAAAAAATCTGAAAATAATTTAGTAATGTATTTTCTTTAGCATATCTAAAATATGATCATTTTAACATATAATCAGTATAAAACATTATTAGTGAGATGGTCGACATTCTTTTCTTTCTACTAAATCTTTAAAATTCAATGTGTATTTTATACATACAGCACTTCTCAATTTAAAGTAGCCCTATGTAGTTACTGTCTTTGGTACTGGGCTGTAACCTGACCTCAGAGCATGTTTCCAACCCTGTCTCCGGCTCTACACACTGTGCTTCAGCCACTCCCTGACTTGACCAGTTTATCCACACTCACATGCTTTAACATAGACCACAGCCCTCAGATAGATTTAGCCCTCTGCTTTTCTCAATCTGAAGAACTTCAACTCACCTCGCCCTAAACATGCTCCTTTTATTGCATCTCATCACGGCACCTGCCATTTTTCAAGTATTTGTTGCCTTCTGACTCTGGCTAAATAGTGAGTTCTGTAATAGAGAGCCTGTCATAATTATCTCTGTACTCCTAGCATTTTTGAGGAATAAATTAGTGAATGAATCAATAAACAAATGAAGCATGCTACTAAAACACGGATGTAAAATGTAACATTTTAGGTTTTCCTTTTTTCTCCCTATCTGAGGTTCTTTGTTCCTTCTAGTTCTTCATAGTTTTATTCCTATCTTATATAACCACAGAAACGTAGAATACAAATATGTTTTGAATTAGAAATACCAAAATTAAGACATCAAATTAATAGCATTGGCTATAACAATGATCACTTACAGATGCTGATGTGATTAAAGTGGCCACAAAAATAGTCGTTTCTTGGGAAAAAAATTTTTTTTATCTTTTAATTTTGTTTTTATGTTTTAGAATAGAAGAATAACTAGCAGTTGGAGGTTTGTGGACCTGAGCAAGTCAATTAACTTAGGCCTTAGTATACTGAGGAGGCCCTAGTGAAATGAAGAGGTTGAATTAAGGGATCATTACAATTTAGTTTAGCTTTAAATGTTTATGGTTTCAGGATTTCTCTGTTTGTAACATATTCCCAAAGTAAACTGATTTATAACCATTTGTGAGGATAGATACTTGCCTCAGGATGTGGTAAAATGTTAGTTTTTTTTTCAAAGGCAGAGAATATAGAATTGGTTCATTTAAAAAAATAATTTACAAATTTAACTTCATGGTTTTACTAATTCTGCAAGCTTATAATGTTTTTGACATTCTGGAGTGAACTCAGCAAAGTAGCTTTTCTTATGACTCTTCAAAGAACATCTGGTGGCAATTTATACAATTATTTGTGTTTAAATTTTAGATAACTAAGTGTTGGCATTTCATTTATTTATTTATTTGTTTATTTATTTATTTGAAAGGAGTCTTGCTCTGTCGCCCAGGCTGGAGTGCAGTGGTACAATCTCAGATCACTGCAACCTCCACCTCCCGGGTTCAAGTGATTCTCGTGCCTCAGCCTCACAAGTAGCTAGGATTACAGGCGCCTGCCACGACACCTGGCTAATTTTTGTATTTTTAGTAGAGATGGGTTTTCGCCATGTTGGCCAGGCTAGTCTTGAACTCCCGACCTCAGGTGATCTGCCTGCCTCAGCCTCCCAAAGTGCTGGGATTACAGGCGTGAGCCACTGCACCCCGCTGGATGTTGGCATTTCTGTACATATATGTAAAATATTTATGATTGCACTAAAAATTAATCATCATAATACTTTGTGGGCAGAGAGTGTGGGGACTGAGTGAAAACAATGTTGGTTTCAGGGCCAAAAGAAAGGATTTCAATGAAGCCAGGTGGGCTTTGGCTTGGCTGTAGGACCCTCCCACACCAAACAACATTCTAGAATTATCTCTGCCTTTAAAAACATGCAATATTCTAGGTTGGCATCATCTCTTTTTCTGTCTAAGTCCACGCCCATTTTTTGGTTAAGACTTGCCACCCGCTATATCATGAAACACTTCCGTGGAGTAAGCATGGCACCATTCGTTTCCAAGACACGTAGTTAAAGTCCAACACTGGGCTTCTAAGACGAGAAAAGACTCCTCACATTTTTCCATTGGGCCTTTAAGAAACCAGGTATCCAGTGGACAATGAATTAATATATTATTATGAAAGATAGGCAATTAAAGGAAACTGAAAAATAAGTCTTTGTTTGTTTTTAAAGATTTTGTTACAGCTGCTTTGTTTTGATCACGCTTCTCAAAGCAGTTTTTAGTTCCACAGCTTGGGGTGAGAAGGGTCCAGATTAAATCTTACTAACATTGGTATGATAGGCCTGCAGCACATTACACTGTGTTCCAATAATATATGATATCTGCATTCATTAAGAATCTCTTGTGAAAAAATCATATATATTTATTTTTTTAATGAGGAAAAGGCAGCTAGAGGCTGGAACAGTGTTTCTCAACGTGTGGTTTGAGGTTCACTTGCATAAGATTATTTGAGGAACTCGGTAAAAAGTCAGATTCCTAAACTCTTTCCCAGACCTATTGTATCCAAATCCTTAGGGTGGAGCCTGAGAATCCTGGTTTTTATCAATTTTTAAAAAAACAAATTGCATGCTCAAGGCTGACAAAAACAATCAAAATAATTTCGCATTTGTCCTTTGACTCAAATACTCATGCTGGGCCGTTGGCCCTGACCTTGACTTACTGCTTGTAGTACAGTCACAACTGTCATCAGTAAACAGAAAAACAAAAGAGCTAACAAGGTACCGGCTACTAAATAAAAAGATCTCATTTCCATGCTTTTCATATACCAGCATTTAACTTTTTTTTTCATCCTTGGGAGGTGTTGTTGCTAATAATCTTATAATAAGCAGTTATGATCATGATAATGAAACATCTAAATTATTTTATTATGATGAATCCAGTTTCTGTAATAAGCATGCTGTAAAAGAAATGCTTGTATTGTATCCAATTTCTATCAATAGACCACCAAATATCTGTATGTAACAACATAAATGTATTCATATATTTCTAGATATTTAGATATGTCTAATAATACACAAATAGCTGAAATGTGTGGATTCCTACAAAAAAAGGCCCACTTTTATTATTTATTTATTTGAATTTTTTCTTTGTAGTGACAGTCTTGCTTTGTTGCCCAGGCTGGTCTCAAACTCCTGGGCTCAAGGGATCCTTCTGCCTTGCCCTCGCAAAGTACTGGGATTACAAGTGTGAGCCACTGCACCCACCCACTTTTCTTAATCATGTTTTTAAGCCCTCTTACTATCAAAAATTATATCCAGAAAATTTTTTGTTGTATACAATCTATTGTAGAACTGAGCTGTACAGATAATAAAATTAACTAGTTGTTTGCCTAAATTTGCTCTTATGAATAAAACTAAAATATTATTAAACAATTGGGAAATTATTATCTAAAAGGTAATTGTATTTATGTTGATTTTCTTTCCAAACAATTCTACCTTGGAACAATCTACAGAAGGGATCTTTGTTGATATAATGTATCCTAATGCTTCTTTGAATAGAAACTTTGTGAGAGCATAATTTTCTTTTAATTTAAGGATATTAAGCTTAAAATGATTCATGATACCCTTTGAAATAACTATATCAATCACACATTTAAGAGTTTGCAATAAATAAGTCTGAGAAGATCAGAATCGGTGTGCTTTTCTTTTATTAAATTATGTAATTTTTTCCCACAAGCACTTGTTGAGCACTTTCTCCATGATATATATGGCATGATGGAGGGAAGGAGATAGACAAAATTCCTGCACTTAGGTGGTTCACATTCTCAGTGGAGATGAAAGACAATACAGATGATGGTAGCTATTAGAAACTAGAAGAACATACAGAAACTGTGCCCATCACTTCTCAGCCTCTCGGCTGAGATCAAGTGTAAAAACTGTGCCCAGCTTTAATCATTAATTGTAATTAATTTCATAACATCTTTTGGAAATTAAGGTGTTACACCTTCCCAATAATATTTACATTTTAATCAACTTTGCAACATCATTATTAACGTTTTTGTTATTAGAGAATGTGTTGACCAGATGTGGTAGCTTACTCTTGTAATCCCAGCACGTTGGGAGGCAAAGGCAGGAGGATTTCTTGAGCCCAGTTTTAGACTAGCCTGGGCAATATACAAAAAATTTAAAAAGAAAAAGAAAAAACTAGCCAGGTGTGGTGGTGCATATCTGTAGTCCTAGCTACTCAGAAGGCTAAGGTGGAAAGATCACTTTAGTCTGGGCGCTTGAGGCTGAAGTGAGCTTTGATTATGCCACTGCACTCCAGCCTGGGCAACAGAGTGAGACTTCTTCCCAAAAGACAAGGGGAAAAAAAAAAAAGAGAGAGAGTGTCTTAATTTGTGTTATCTTAGAAACTTACCCTGAGACAAGATTAAAGTACACATTGTAATTTTGGAGATGATATGGTTTGGCTCTGTTTCCCCACCAAATCTCATGTTGAATTGCAATCCCCGTTGTTGGAAGTGGGGCCCCGTGGGAGGTGATTGAATCATGGGGGTGGTTTCTAATGGTTTAGCTACATCCCTCAAGTGCTGTCTCAGGATAGAGTTCTCATGAAATCTGGTTATTTGAAAGTGTATAGCATCTCCCTCTTTGCTTTCTCTCTGTCTCTCTTGCTGGCCATGTGAAGATGTGCCTACTTCTTCACCTTCTGCCATGATTGTAAGTTGCCCAAGGTCTCCCCAGAAGCAGAAATCTATACAGCCCACAGAACCATAAGCCAATTAAACTGCTTTTCTTTATAAATTACCTAGTCTCAGGTATGTCTTCATAGCAGTGGAGAACAAGCTAATACAGGAGGTAATACCAGAAACTGTAGAGCAGTGGAAGAGTGAGTGGTAGAGAAGTGATAGCAAATAAAGCGTGAATTATCAGACAATTCCCCACTGTGTGTAAATAGTGCATAATCCCTCTGAGGAACACTGGGCACAGGTAGATGACACACCTCAAAATAAAGCCGGAGCTGGGGTATTTATACACCAACTACCACCTACAAGCTGCTCCTGAAGAAACATTCATTCTCTGACACTTTCAGCCTACCACACATTTCACAAAGTTAACTCAGATGACCAGACAATGCCTCAGACAAAGAAATACAGGAGCTGACAGTTGCAAGTTGGGCCATTGTGCCCTGAAGTGAAGGACGAAAAATAAGCAGCAGCATTTGCTACAGAGAGTGAGCACAATTTTAAAGCAGTTCGAAAGAGGTAATTGTTTCAGTCATTTATCATCTTCTTTCAGACTACCCTTATGTAACTTTTTGCATATAACCATCCTCATGTATTTTTTACAAACTTTAAGTCAAAATGTGTACACTATTTTATATTTTATGTGTCACATAATAATCTATCACCTATTTTTGTATTTTCACTTTGAAGATCACATAGTGTTCTTTACAGATCTACTTAGTATTCATTTCTTTTGATGTTTATTGAGTGCCCAGGCTCTTATTGAGAGCTGTGCATAGGTGCTGAGAATGGGTATAGAAATGAACTTGAAAATTTTGAAGAATTGACCTATATACACATGTGCACCAAGTTCAATGCTAGAGATGTGTTCAGTTGAAAGAGATGAAAACTCAGAAGATGGTGGTTAACTGAAGGCCATCAGAGAAGGTCCCATATAAGGGGACAGATGGACAAATATGAAGCAGTGCGGACATGCCAAGCCAGAGGAACACCCTGTGTGAAGGACGGAGGTGTGATGGTTCATTATTGTTAGAGTATTACAAATAAAGAGCATAAATCATTCATTTCACCATTCTCCTCATATTGGCTATTTTTTATTATTTTCCTCTCTCTGTTATTAGAGGTAATATCTCAGTGAGCACCACTGTGCTTCTAGCTTTTTATTTCTCTTAGGTTATTTTTAAAATGTGAACTTCAGAAACTGGAATTACCTGGTCAAAGGAAAGGCTCTTTTGTCAGGATCTTACTTTATGTCTTAACTTTGCAGAATGAATAATGTGGGAATTTCAAGCACAGTGATCCAGTGGGCTAAAGGTAGCAACTCCAGTACAAGACAGAGCCTGCAGAGAATTTTCTTTCTTGCTTGCTCTTCTGCTTCAGTTCTTGGCCTTTCTTACAACTTTCTACAGTGAAGTTCAGCTGTAGGCTCACGTGCTTCCTGAGTCTATTTGGGCAAAAGGTAGTAAATGGAAGAGAACAGCAGAGTTAAGATGACAAATCAACTTAAATTATAATAGGGCTGCATTTTAAATTGCTTCTTTTTCAAAGAAGAAAAAATTTTGTATCATCCTAATTGAGATAGCAACCAAAAAGCAAGTTGTTGCCTTATATAAAAGAAAAAAAAATTAATAACTTTTAAGACTATTTCAATGACTTATATTTTCGATTTCTGAAGAATTTTAATAAATATTTTTATAAAATGAATTTCATGGTTTCTCTCTACTCATCAAATCTTCAAATTAAAAGAAAAGTAACAAGAGAAAGAAAAAAGCTTTCTAAACACTTTTTCTATAGTTTTTACATAAATAATAGAAAACAGCATAGAGCAAATTACTTTTAAAATTATACAAAAAGTCAGATAAAAATTTTTGTCAATATGTAGAGATGTATAATAATTTGAAACAATATTCACCAAAATCGTAGTGTAAATCTGTCATTAAATTTTAACCAAGTCAAATGCTAAAAAAATGCACTGTAATTATATATATCTATACTTATTTTGCTTCATTTTTTTTTTCAGAATTCAAGATGCAATGCTTGATTTGGTTTATTAGTCACATCAAAAAATGAAATTAAGTAAGTGATCCTGATTCACACAATTCCTAGCTCTTATACTCAGTAGTTTTGCTTATTTTCCTGTTTTCAACTTTTCTTGGTGAGTTACATACTGGAAGTAATTATTGCTTCAGATGAAATTGCTTCAGAGCATTTCCAAAATGACTTAGGTAATATTCCTCACTTCTTTGATTTAAAAAAAAATCGTTGTTTTCAAGGGTGTATAAGACAAATGTAACAGAAAATCTCTCCACATCAGTTTACCTAGTCTAGCATCCACCCAGGGTTGAAATTCAAATTGTCTTTTGGGTCATTCAGTCTCCACTCCAGCAAACTTGTTTTTAAGAAGCCGTTGGAGATTTTACTCATCTCTTCCTTCCTTGCTTTGTTTAAACAAAATTTTTGAGACAGAGAATCTCCATACCCACGCCTGGCTACTCAGAGCCACCCTGGCTGCAGCTTGTATCTTATGCATCTCAAATCTATCAGAATGACTCAGTATGTGGTCCTCATAATTGGTGTCACTATTGGATAATTAGTCTTTGCTCAGATATTAAAGGTTGGTAATGGCTCAGTGTAATCAAACACCATATTAGAAAGAGCTGTGTGTCTAGAATCAGAAAATAGTCTTACACCACCACTAGCCAAGTTATCCTGGCAAGTTATTTCAAGTCTTTCGGAACCTCCATTTTAACAGTGTAGCTCAACATTATTGAGCACCTATTACGAGACACTCTAATCTTGGCACTTGGGATACAAAAGTAATTGAAAATGCCCTGGTCAATGCACTTGAGTAGTTTATCAATATTAGACGAAACAGGAAAGTACTACAATATGATACGTAAGGATATTTTCTGCAGGGAGGGAATGAAAATACAATTGTCTTCCAGAGCTTTTTGTTTCTCTCCAAAATATTAAGCTTTGGTAGCACCTCTCAGAAAAGACAAGTTCTCCTCTTACTGGAACTTGAAAGTCTTTTGACTTTTTCTCATTAAATCTTCTTTGCCCTAGTTTAAAGATATTGTATGAAGTAGTTAGAAAAAAAAATGCACATTAAGCACCCTTTAGGGATTTTGCTGCTGGTTTAGGAAAGATTTGCAAGCCCTACATTAAGTCCCTGCCGCATTGGGTGTAGGTCAAAAGTAAGTGGATGAGAATATCTAACCTAAGTATTGAAAGCAAATGAGGAATCATCTGACCCCTCGCTTATTTCCAGGTAAGGAAATGGAGGTTGGAGAGATCAAATGGCTCTCCCAAGCCACACAGCTAGTGAGTGGCTGAGTAGATGCAAAGCTGGATACTGACTTTTCCTCATTCCCTCATTCATTCCTTTAATGAACACTCACAGAGTATTCAATGCATACAAATTGTGCAAAACACTTCAGGGAATTTCTTCATGTATGAGACAGGCTCTCTGCTCTTCTCCTTCAATCTAATGCTGAATGTTAGCAGCACTTTATGTCAGAGATGAAGAGATAGTTGGAAGATTGTCTATCTGAAGAGATGAGTTGAACAAAATTAAAAAGTCTGGATTAACGTGAAGTACACAAGGTGACATGAGTCCTCAGGGTAATACAATTAATGAGCCATCACATATTGGTAGAATCTAATGAATATTCAGACTCTAATCAAAATAGTAGCTCGGTTGAGTGAGGATAAGTGACCTGAACTGTGCCTTTGATCTTAATCTTAGGGAAAAAGAAGACAGAAAAGCAGCAGCAGAGAAACGGTTTTCTAAACAAAGGATTAAGGAGAAGGCTAAGATAGAAAATTTGCTGCTGTCAATTGACAAAAAATGGGGAGAGGCTTATTTTGTGGGTCCTATATTTCCTTGAGAGCTTCTTTGGAGGTTCTAGCAGGGGAGTGCAGTTACTTGTATACCCTTGACCAAAGACCAGTCCTCTATTGGAAATGGTCCTCCCTTTTGACCAAGCATGCAGCTTCAGAAAGGATGCACATGGAGCAATGAGGCAGGAAGGGGAGACTCACCTAGGTAGCCAGAGCAGCCAAATCAACCCTGACAATCAATGACATGAAAGACTGTTGCAGCCAGATCGCCCTCACGTGCAAAGTCCTCTATTTCCATGTGTCACCTTTACAGACCTTGACTGTAATGGAATTGTATTAGAGTTCCAATTAAAATCAGCTCTCCTTTAGGGAAAAAAAAAAGGTAGATGAGAAGAAAAAAAATAAGAATCTCTGTGAATACTTTATTATGGTGCATATTGAACCATTCCTGGATGTGTTTCAGTAGATTCCACTGTCAAGTATAGCTAGTGGGAGGGTCAGTAATAACTCTCTTTTCAACACTAAGCAACTGGATTCCAACCAGACATCCTAACTGAAAGATGTGTCTGTTGCTCCATGGATCTTTGACTATTTGAATCTCTTTAGGAACTTTCCCTCTGGTTGCAGGAGACAAAGAAGAGATAATCACAGCTATCCATTTCAGTACAAGACTGCCTGAGATGTTGTCATTTTCTTCAAATCCCAGAGACTGTCAATTTGTGAGTTGCTATTTCCTATCTTTTTCTACCTAAATCTTACTTTGAAACTAGGATTGGTCACTTCATGCTACATACTGCCCAATTTCTTTATTTTTAAAAAATTTTATCTTCGATTCTTTTGTTTTTATTTTCTTATTGTGTGCCTTCAAGCAGATATAGCCAGGACACACTGCGTGATTTCATTATGATAAATGGTCACAACAAAAAGAATAAAGCACCCTGGGAAGAGTCTTGGTGAATACCAACCACTGTGTTGGTTGTCCATATACCATGTCAAGTGGCCGCAGAATTCCCACAGTGTGTTCGGAAGGCTCGAAGGCAAGTACTCTGGGTACTGAGACTCTCCAAGGCCCAGGACAATTTTGCTGCTGAAAACCCATAGTGGACTATGAGTTGCAGAGAATTCACGTGGCATTTTCCCAGCCCTTGAAATAGGTTGGTTGTTCTCCAGCTGTGATGTCCCCTAACAGCTCACGGTACTAAACCAGAGTTAAAGTCTGTTGTATACCATCTGTGACATGATAAAATAACCTAACATAGAAGTAAGGGCCCTACGTGTGTTTTATCTTACGTGAATTCCTGCTTTTCCAGTCACTGCCAGGCAGGATATTAATATACCTGTCTTTTTTTCTAAGGAAACTTGTACTTGAAGGGAAGAAATATGTACAATTCGATTTCATATAAATATTCAGAGTTAATCCTTCCATAACGCAAATGGAAAGAGTGTGACAATATTAATCCCATTTCTAAAAAATTACATTTGATGAATGCCTTTGAACCACTAGGGTTGTTTTGAGTCTCTTTGGGGAGAAGAAAAAAAAAGTGTGCCTAGAATAAAGCACATCAGGCTTCTTAGCTGCAACAAAATCATCCACAGTTGTAGGAATCTTTTGAGGTAGTTCAAGTCCAGGAACAGTTTTTCAGAAATGAGATTCAGGGTTTATAGTGTAGCCTATAAATTTCCAGTGCAGTTCTTGAAGATACACCAAATTCAGTGACTATATTTGGGCACTAAATTATATACAAACAGGCAGTGGCATGATTTCCACCTTATCTTCATCCAGATCTCCAATGAAAACAAGAATTGCATGAGTGCATATTATTTATTTGTTTTTTGGGGGGCTTGGAAGATTTTTGCTGTTTCGTTTTTTTATTTAAACTGGAGCTTGGGGAACCTCTTAGGAGTTCAGCTACCGGTCAAGCTTTGGGCTGAAGCAAGCTGAACTGAGCCCTCTTTCCTAATATGTTTAGTTCCTCAGACTAGACACATTCTGTGCACAAACAAACCATGAGAAAAGGGCACTAGTGGTTTACCACAAAGCAGATTGGGCCAATTACCATAATGCAAGTTTACTAGGCAAAGACCACAGAGGTGACTGACTCCTGCTTCTGTATGTAGCCCCTGTCACTACTTTATGACAAGATAACTATAAGGAATTTAAGCTATTTTAGGGGCAGTCAGGCTAGTCTCATTGCCTTCTTCACTGTTCTAAACAATTCCAATGTGTGGATAAGACAGGAGCTTTCCTAGTCACCCAGTCTACTACAGGTATTCCTGATAGTAAGTTCATTGTTTAATTCAACCTGGATCATGGAGGTAACATAATGCAGTGGAGTCAGGCAGTCTGAATTCAAATTCTGAACTCAACTCCTTACTCGCTGTGCAACTTTGATCAATATACTTGAAATTCTGAGAGATTTCTCTTTTTCATCTGCAGTTCAATTCTGTTAAATCCAGTGCATTTTGGATCGGTAAGTACTTATGAGATACACAAACTGTGCTGGACATAGGAAAATAAAAGCTACAGAATCAGTATGGTCCAGGCTTGATGAGTTGGGGAGAGGCACAAAAGTTACATCAGGTGGCTGCAGAATTCCCATAGCATATTCGGAGGGCTCAAAAGCAAGCACTCTGGGTACTGGGACTCTCCAGGGCCCAGGACGGTTTTGCTGCTGAAAATCCACAGTGGACCATGAGTTGCAGAGAATTCACATGGCATTTTCCCAGCCCTTGAGAGAGACCAGTTGCTCTCCAGCTGTGATGTCCCAGAACAGCCCACGGAACTAAACCAGACAGCCCAAGAGGAAACTTGCCAGGAGCTTCTGCCAAGTTTGGATAAGCTCAGACCTGGACTTTCCTCTAGAAACCACAATGCATTTCTCTTTTGAGAAGAAGAAATTAGTAACGGGGCCTAAGGACGAGCGAACTTGGCAAGGAAGCAAAGGGCATCCATAGGAGGATCTCCCCTTTGGATGTACAGAAAATCCTCCTCCCAGAGAGGAAAAGAGAAACATATAATATTGACAGAGAAAAGTCCTGGGACTGATTTCTCTGCCACTGGCCACTGTGGGAACCTAAGTCACTGTTTTCTTATTGGTCCAAAAGTAGGGTTAAACCAGATTACTGTTCAGGTTCCCGAAAACCTCGACATACCCCAAACTATGCTATGCCCAGCTTCCATCAGCTCCCAGCAAAAAATCATTCTAACACACGTTCCTTCCAAATGAACATTGAGCAGGTCCCATATGTAGACTTGCTGAAGAGAAGATCATTGACAGCAGAATCATCACCAAACCTGCCAGAAATGAACCCAGCTACACTCTGACACAAGAAAAATCCAAAATTTTCTCCTCTGCTATGTTGTCTTGTTAAAATAGAACAAGAAATTCCATGGTCCAAATCTCTGGCAAGGGAAAAATACCTTCCTTGAAATTAGGAGAGGAAATTCCTCTCCTCTTCCCAAGGCCTATCACAGGGACCTGTAGCTTGCTTGACTCTAGAGGAAGGGACCTGAAGACCTCTTGGGAAGTCTGTGAACCAAGTGCAGCACTATGGGGCGAGGTTGAACCCCAGAGGCAAGGAAAAAGATAAACAGGTAAGAGCCAGACAGTTACCTGGGTCCTAGCTTGGCCTCTGTGGGCTTTTGGACAAATTACTTTGATTCCCTAAGGGTTGGTTGATTCTCCCTCCGCACCTCACAGGATTATTGGGAGGGTAACTATGATAGTCATTAGGGCTCTTTATAAGTATTCTGGTAACTATTTTCCTTGCAGCCATTTGGTTAAATTGTACTTTCCATCCCACCTCTCCCCAGCAAAAAATAAAGTATGGGCATGTGATTTGGTTTGCTCATGAAATGTGAAAAGCAGCTTGTGTCACTGCTGAGCAGAAGTTTTAGAGGCTGTGAACAGTTCTTTGTGACTCGCCATGCTCTCTTTCTCTCTGTTTGGAGATTAGCAATGTTACAGATAGTGACTGTCACCCCTGGGTCCCAGAGCACACAGCTGACCTCTGATGGTTATGTAGCATACTGTTGTTGCTCTTGACCACCAACATTGGGAATAGTTGCAATAACAGCATAATATAACCTATGCATTCTCAACAGGGGCAATATTGCCCCCCAAAAGAACAAAAATCTGTTCTTGAGTTGTGAAACAATATATAATGGTCTATGGCTCTCCAAAAGACCATAGTACATAAACCAATGTAATAAGGTATATTTGTGGTATTAAAATGTCATGGAGGGGAAGGGGAGTTGGCATGGATTTAGAGAGAGAAAGAAAAAAAAAGCCTAGAAAGACTCCTTAAGGATGCAATAATGAAAAAAAAGAAAGATTGAGAAGCATTTAAGCCTGTCCTTGCTTATAGAGTAGCATATAGATAAAAGACCTAGCATAGAGTAAGTTATTTCAGTTTGCCTAAAAGAGATTCAGAGAGAGTCACTGTATTATATACAGTATATTTTATTTCTTTCTCCTGTTTATTATCTTTCTCCCCAGCTCATGAAGGTAGGGAGTTTTTCTATCTTGTTAGTTGCTGAATCCCTAGTGTTTAGGATAGCACTAGCACATAGCAGGTGCTCATTAAAACATTTGTTGAAGGAATAAATAAATCATGAAGACAGAAATGACCCCAGTTCTCACTAAACTTCCAAGCATAATGAGGTGTCAGTCACATGCTGATGCAGACAGAGCAGGCCACTGCTGGAGCGCATGGGAGAAGGAACTAACCCAGATCTGGGAAGGCTCCTGGGAGGAAACGATATTTAAAGTATGACCTAAGAAATGGAGAAGTTAGACAAACAAAAAGCAAAAATCAAGGGTTGGTGCAAAGTGAATTAAGTAAGAAGAAAAAAAAAATATTTCAGACCAAAGGAATAGTACAAAGATTGCAAACTGGCAGCTATTGAGTTGGAGTTGGATTTCACCAACGGAGATGTTTTATTTGGCCAGAGTTGACTCATGTTTAAAAATCAAAATTTACATTAAGAACATGTAATTCCAGCTTGTCTTTAAATACTTGAAAGATTTGGGGAAAAAAATGGCTACATGTGAATAACACTCCAGCTTTCAGTTACATACGGCCTGTAAGGGAGGAGACCACCTCTCATATTGTCTTATGCCCAATTTCTGCCTCCAAAGAAAGAAGAAGTAAAAACTAAAAGGCAGAAATGAAATCTACAAGCAGACAGCCCAGCATCACACCCTGGGCCTGGTAGTTAAAGATCTGCCCCTGACCTAACTGGTTATGTTATCTATAGATTCCAGACATTGTATGGAGAAGCACTGTAAAAATCCCTGTCCTTTTCTGTTCCGTTCTCTGCGTTCTGGTGCACGCAATCCCCAGTCACGTACCCACCGCTTGCCCAACAGATTACGACTCTCTCACGCGGACCCCCTTAAAGTTGTGAGCTCTTAAAGGGACAGGAATTGCTCACTCAGGGAGCTCGGCTCTTGAGACAGGAGTCTTGTCCATGCTTCCGGCCGAATAAACTCCTTCCTTTAACTCAGTGTCTGAGGGGTTTTGTTTGTGGCTCTTCCTGCTATACCTCCATTACGGACCTTGAGACTGAAAGACATTGCTTTTTATAACTGTATATATTCCGTTATTTACTTCAAAAAGAATTAGGACACCAACTGATTATATACCACAGCCATGTGTCTATCAACAGCAGCAAAATGAAAGATAGACTGATAGGGCTACAAATTTCAAGCAAAATATACATATGGATTGATGTTTGGAAGAGAAGAACATGCCTATGCAAAATTCTAACCTGCTTTATTCAATATTTTGAAGGCATTTCAGGTTGTCTTTCTTGGAACAGTCTAAATAAAGGCTGAAAGATGAAAGAGCTAGGGTACATTTAAGGAACTGAAAATGTACTCTGGCTCACATATGTTTCTTGCAGCACTATTTACAAAAGCAAAGACTTGGAACCAACCCAAGTGCCCATCCATGATAGACTGGATAAAGAAAATGTGGCACATATACACCATGGAATACTATGCAGCCATAAAAAAGAATGAGTTCATGTCCTTTGCAGGAACATGGATGAAGCTGGGAGCCATCATTCTCAGCACACAGGAACTAACACAGGAACAGAAAACCAAACACCACATGTTCTAATTCATAAGTGGGAGTCGAACAATGAGAACACATGGGTACAGGAGGGGAACATCACACACCAGGACCTGTCAGGGGATGGGGGACAAGGGGAGGGAGAGCATTAAGACAAACATGTAATGCATGCAGGGCCTAAAACCTAGATGACAAGTTGATAGTTGCAGCAAACCACCTGTGTATACAGGTATACATGTATACCTGTGTAACAAACCTACACATTCTGCAGGTTTGTTATATAAATATATATATAAAAGACTTTCTAGGAAAAACTTACTCTCCCTCCCTCATCTTTATTTGGAAGCCAATGGGTACTGTATGGTGTTAGGAGGGGACTCGAGGACCTATTGCAATTTTAGAGTTTATAAAATGTATCTCTGAAAATCAGAAGAGAAAAAAAAAGAGTGATACAATGGACTTTGGGGACTTGCAGGTAAGAGTAGGAGGGGGGCGGGGGATAAAAGACAACAAATACAGTGCAGTGTATGCTGCCTGGGTGATGGGTGCATCAGGATCTCACAAATCACCACTAAAGAACTTACTCATGTAACCAAATACCACCTGTACCCTATTAACTTATGGAAAAATAAAATCAAAAATATAAAAATAAGTAAAGAAAGAAAGAAAATGTGATCTGCCTAAAACATAATGTGTGACATGGAGATGGAAGATGTAATAAACTCCAAATTTTAAAGGCTTTTGAATACCATTTTAAAAAGCCCGAACTTCGTCCTAACAGCAATGAGAAGCCACTGAAGTGCTTAAAGCAAATGAGTGATGTGTTCCTGTCAGTGTCAAAGAAGACAGATCAATCTGCCAGAATATAAAGAGTAGACTGAGGGCTGAGCGCAGTGGCTCATGCCTGTAATCTCAGCACTTTGGGAGGCCAAGGCGGGCAGATCACAGATCACAAGGTCAAGAGTTCGAGATTAGCCTGGGCAACATGGTGAAACCCCGTCTCTACTAAAAATACAAAAATTAGCCTTGTGTGGTGGCACATGCCTGTAATCCCAGCTACTTGGGAGGATGAGGCAGCAGAATCCCTTGAACCCAGGAGGTGGAGGTTGCAGTGAGCCGAGATTGCACCACTGCACTCCAGCCTGGGTGACAGAGCAAGACTCCATCTCGAAACTGACACAAAACAAAAACAAAAACAAAACAAAACAGAAAAAAGAGTGGACTGGTGTTAAATAAGACAAGAGGCTGAGTGGTGAATTACAAGACAATTGCAGAAATTCAGGCAAAAGAGGATATTGATCCTAATGAATAAGGGGTGATAATGGTAATGGATAAATTCCAGAAGCATTCATTTTGTCCTTCATCATTAATATTACCCTCACTTATTTACAGTGTTATGCCCAATAAGACTTACCCCCTCAGATGCCTTTGCAGAGCCTTGGTAACTTCCTAGAACAGTTGTGCCAGTCCTGGACTATTTTCCTGGATATTGTCTGTTAGGTTAAAGTAAATAAATCTTTTTATTATCAATATGCATGCAGTGCAATGCAATTATTGAGACACAGAACTGACAGAATTTAGTAGATGTAGGATGGAGACTTACTTTGCAGAATTTTTGTAAGTATTTAGCATAGGGGACCCCAACCTCTGGGCCACTGACCTGTACTGGTCCATGGCTTGTTAGGAACCCAGTCACACAGCAGGAGGTGCGTGGCAGGCAAGCAAGTTTTACTGTCTGAGCTTCACCTCCTGTCAGATCAGTGGCGGCATTAGATTCTCATAGGAGCACGAACCCTATTGTGAACTGTGCATCTGTGCATGCGAGGGATCTAGGTTGCACACTCCTTATGCAAATCTAACTAATGCCCAACGATCTGAGGTGGAACAGTTTCATCCCAGAACCATCCCCCCCCACCACCACATCCATGGAAAAATTGTCTTCCACGAAACCAGTCCCTGGTGCCAAAAAGGTTGGGGACTGTTGATTTAGTGTATCGACTACCTAACAATGTCCAAAATAGAAGTAAGCAACAGGTGTTAATTCCCTCCTTCTCTCTTCCTGTTCCTGATCCTAAGGTCAGAAACCACAAATTCTAGTTTTCTGTGAAAGGTATCTAAACTTAAACAGTATACACACAAAGAATTTGGTACTTGGTTGTGGCTGATAGACTAGCAATTTTAATCAATGTTTAAACATGATTTAGACATAGGGAAAGCAATGTTGTAGCAAATGTTTTCAGACACACACATAAATTACAGATGGATTATTCAGGCTAATGCAGCTACAGAAGATAATTGTACCAGGTAGGTTTTATTCTGTGAGGTATTTAGCTCTTCCAGTAATTTGATCAGTTTTGACTGAGTCATGCTCAAAACTGAAACGAACTTTATTTTTGAAGATTTTAGTATGATTAGATAATACTTTGGGTAATATCTGATCATTGAAGAGAAAGTAAAAAGTAGAAAGCAAACACAGAGAACAGAGAAATAGCAAAATAAACAATAAACTATATTACCTTCTCTCTTAATGCAGTTATATATGCAATTTTATGTAAAGAAGAATAAAGATTGCTTTTGTAAATTTGTCCTAATCTTTCTGTCTGCTAAGGACAAAGTGTAATAAAGCAAAAATCAATTAAAAGGTAATTATAAATATGATCTCAACTCTGTCGCAAAAGCAACTGCTTATCTATGTGCATATTAAGGAAATCCACGCAAAGAGAGGACTGGAAGGAAATGCATAGGAAGTGATCAGATATTCTCATGGAATGATATACTTTCGTGTAGTTTGCTACATTTCTATATTTCCTGTGATGGCATGTATTGCTTTCATAATCAGGAAAAAAATTAACTTACTACGAAAATTTTTATGCAGCATTCCTTTGACAAACAGAGTTGTTTATGGATTTTTAGTCTTGGCAAGCAATTAGAGTAGATTCCATCACTGTTGATATTTATCCCCTCTTCCAAGAATACACAGAAGGGGAGAAAATAGTATATTTCCTATACAAAAGGTGGACAAAAGAATATAGTTAAGAGAACTAGAACAAAACCATAGACTAGGAAAGCAGCCGACAATATTAGCTTTGCAAATTTATCTTAATAAACCAATTAATGCTTTGAGTTTGAACCTGTAAAATTATTTATTTGCAAACCTATTGCTTACAATAAAACAGAATTATAATGTAAAAAATTTTGTGATGAACAGGGTTTATGCACTGTCTTGCTACACTAAGTAGCATATGAATGCTCTTCAGTAACTGGAGCAACCTAGTCAACTATAAATAAAGCATACTATGATGCCCTCAAACCAAAATTCATTCATCTTACTTGAATGAGCAATTCTGTTCAGTGAAACTTGACCCCCTACTGTTAACTAATTATATTTTCCAGAGAAAAACACATTCGCTGAAAAAAATAAGTTGTTCTCTGCAAAGAAATAAGATCTTCCAAGCACATCTGGTAAGATGTATTTCACTTTTAGTTTTTTAATCTTTGGCTACAAAGATTTGACACATTATTTCAAAAGAATACATCTACTCATCCAGTGGGAATAAATTCAACAAACAATTGATGAGCAAAGTACTGGCTTAAAAAAAATAAACTAAGTAAAATTTTTTCCCTTGGATAATAAAATAAGAATAAAAGAAGAGACATTGGGTTAAGAACCCTTAGGGCAAAATAAAAACACAACTGGTTTCTTAAAAACTTGCTTTTGACGTGTCAAAAAGAGTTATGCTAGGGAAATGAGCTAAGAAAGCACATTGTTATTTGTACGTGATAGTGTGACATCCTTGCTGTGTTGAAGGTAAGACCATCTAAAGGTCAGGACAGTACACAGGGACTATAAAAACAAAATGGAAATAAAAAGCAGGATAATAAAATGAAAGGAAAAGTAGAAACTGCCAGAAAGAAGCAGCACAACTGTCAAGGAGACAGTGTAAATTCAGATGCCATCAAGTTTTACCACAAAGAGATAAAGGAAAAGGCCAATTTTGACGACAAATAACAAAGTGTAACATCCAAAGAGTAGCGGGGAAGAGAGAGGTCGTATGTCCTCCTGTGAACATTTGAATAGTTCTCAGATGCACTTAGTTTGAGCAGAATTATGTGATTGCTGAGTTCTTCCCTCTCTGCTTGGCAAAAATGATGGAAGTCTTGTCTCCAGTTTTAACCCTATTTGCTTTTCTGCAACAATATGGCAGGTTGTTTACATGCTGGGTGGGGAAAGGGAAACGAAGAGTAAAAACCAACCAGTTGTTACTTTGCAAAATGGAAATGTAACTCTGAGGACTAAGCAATCTCGACTGCTAACAAAATTAATTCCTGAACACTATGAAAAAGGAAAAAATGCATAGAAATTGATACTTTAAACATTAAATATTCAGCTGGTTCTCTTATTTGGCAAAACCTTTTTGAAACAAAGCTGATCTCATTTTGGTTTACAGCACACCAAAGAATTTCCACCAAAAATGACTGAATTACTGCTATTTACTAAAATGGTTTTCATTCTGTGACATTTTTCTCTTTCAACCAAAACTGGTATACTAAAAGTCATTTTTGGCACTGACCATCTAGAGTTAGTGCAGGATCCATAAGTCAAGGGCTTAATCCTTCACAAATCTTCCCTTACTTCAGATTCCAGCTGTACTTTGGGGGTCTCCAGGTCACTCACACTTCTGAACAACTAGCTATAAATTTGGTGATTCCCATGACCCTCTTAGGTTCAATAATTCACTGGAACAACTCAGACTCAGGAAAGTGTAGTACTTAGGATTAGAGTTTTATTATATAGAATACATTATGGATCAGCCAAATGAAAAGACACATGGGGAAGGTCTGGGAGGGTCCCTAGTGCATAACTTCCTTATCATCTTCCCATCAAATCAAGTCATGGCACCGTCCCAGCACATGGATGTGTTCACCAACCAGGAAGCACCACTAAGCTTTGGTGTTCAGTTTTTATTGAGGTTCCATTAGGTAGGCATATTTGATTAAATCATTAGCAACATGACTGAACTCAGCCTCCACACCTTGTCCTCCCTGGAAGTCAGACTGGATCAAAGTTTCAAGTTTCAACCCTCTTATCACATGATTGGTCTTTCTGGTGACCAGCCCCTGTCCCAAAGCTATCGAATAGCCCACCATGAGTCACCTCATTAGCATAAACTCAGGAGCCATCCAGGAGGCTCAGGAATAACAAAACAACTTCTATCTCTCCAGAAATTCCAAGGGTTTTAGAAGCTTCATGTCAGAAACCTGGGGCAAAGACCAGACAAATCCTCTATTATGTAGCAGATATATTAAACCAAGAATGGCAGAATGACATAAAACCAACAAATATTTAAACGACTAATAAGAATTCTGTGTTTGTTATTTGTAGTATACATCTGAAGTATGAAAGTCATAAGTCTGGTGTAGATCACACAAAGATGTTGTGACTTGAATGTGTACCTCCAGGGTAAAAAAGCATTGATTCTATCCTAAGGAGGATTTACTTGGGCAAAAGACAAAGAGAAAACTGTTTTCTCATGAATACACTCACTTTCTATTTCAGTGCCCTCCCATTTACCTAAATTTCAGTCTTGCTTATAGGTTCCAGTCAACTCTTTTTCCAAAAGTGTTAAGTTCAATAAACATTTATTGAGCAACTTTGATGTACAAAGCATCATGTACAAAGATCCCAGTCCTTACAAACCTGTCATTCTAAACAAGATGACAATCATGTTGAAAATTAAGTGACACGACAAAGGTGGAAACAAAATACTTTGCAGTGTTTGAAACATAAGCATTTAATGAGACAAATCATGGGGTGGCCAGAGGGAGGAAGCACTTCAAAAGAGTCTTGAAGAATGAGTAGGATTTCAGAACAGGATGAAAAGTCAAGAACTCTACCAAGCAGAGATGCGAAGACCCAGGAACCTGAAAACATGTTTGGTGAACCCACATGGCTGCAGTAAAAGGCATATGGCTGGGTATATTAGGAGCTGAGGCTGAAGAGGTGATTGAGGCCTTATCATGGGGTGCTGTAAATTCTTTGCTGAGGAGTTTGAATGTTCTTCTTCAAGCAATGGAAAGCCACTGGAGATTTTTTAAGGAGGATACTTCGTTGTGTCTCAAATTCCTCTTCTTTAAGTCTCCAGGAACTCATAGACAAAAAGTGAACCAAAGAGGATATTATATAAATAATCCAGACAATAAATGGCAAGGTGCTGTGGTACTGAATACAAAGCAAGAATACCAAAAAAGAGAACAGAATTTAGTAATGGATTGTGAGAGCAGAAACGGAAGTTGAGGATGATTTCCAAACATCCAGCCTGCCTGACTGGGAATATGGTGCCACTGAAAGAAATGCAGAACCATCTTAGTCTACTCAGGCTGTTATAACGAAATACCATAAACTGGGTGCCTTAAGCAAGAAACATTTATTTTTTACAGTTTTGGAGGCTGGGAAATCCAAGATCAAGATCCTGCCAATTTAATTCCTGGTAAGGGCCTAATTTTGGGCCCACAGATAGCCATCTTCTTGCTGTGTCTTTACATGGAAGCTAGAAAGACAGAGAGAGAGCGCCCTGGTCTCTTTTTATAAGAGCACTAATCCCATCCCGAGGACCCCACCCACATGACCTCATTTAAATCTTATTACCTGCCAAAGACCTTGTCTTCAAATACCATCAAATGGTGGGCTGGCGCTTCAATAAATGAATTTTAGAGGGACAAAATTCAGTCAACAGCAGGAACCCAGAAGGAGAAGGATTGGAATGGAAGATGAAGGGCTTAGTTTGGACACACTGAGTTTGTGGTTTCTTCTCATTACTGAAGTGGCAATATCTAGCTGGCAGCTTGGAGATAAGGAGTAAACAATTTTAAAAGGAGATCAGAGTTCAAGTGTTGTGCCTTCCTGGATACATAAATTTTGGTAGACATTTCTTAGAATGCAAAACCTCATTACCCAAAGGATTAAATATCTAATGGGAGTGGCTACCTACACTGTCTATGTGGTATTATTTGAAAAAGATAAATTCATCCTTACTCATTATAAAGAAAAGTGTGAGGGCTCGGGAGTCAAATTGTTTGGATTGAAATCCTTGCTGTTCTTATTACCATCTGCATGACCTTACATAAGCTACTGAAACTCTTAGTGCCTTAATTTCTTCATGTGTAAAATGAGCATAGTAATACCCTTCTTACACAGTTGTTGGAAAAACAACTTACTGGGACCGCCCCCTCTGCCCAGGAATCTGTCTGCCTCCTATGGCTGTTCATGACATCCAGGCTTCCCCCGACTTTGCTCTGAGACCCCAGCAGGTGCCCACAGGAGGGAGAAGTTAGGCAGTGGGAGGAGGCACTTCTGAGCATCCAAAGGCATTGGGGCCTTCCTGGGCTCCCAAGAGAGCAGAGATACCTGTGCCTGCAGCCATGTGGGCAGCTGCAGCTGCGTCCAGGGGGTCACGCTGCTTCCTGCTCCCTGGAGCGGGAAGCCCAGGTCTACAGCTTTAGTTTGGGTGGCTGCAGCTACACCCGGGAGGGCAGGAATCCTGCCTGTTCCCAGTCCCAAGAGCACAGGGAGGCTTGGACATGCAGCCCCAACTTGGGTGGCCACAGCCCCGCCCAGGAGGGCAGGGTCTTCTGCCTGCTGTGTGGAGCACGAGACCCAGGTCTGCAGCCACAGTTTGGGAAACTGCAGTGGCAGCCAGGGAGCTCCCTCCCCAAGTCAGAAAAGGTGGGTCTCCCGCTTGTTCCCAGCTCCCATGGGCTCCATGGAGCATGCAGTCCCAGTAGTGTCCCCCTGCTGCAGCCAGCCAGCAGCAGGCCGTCTGGAGTAGTTGCTGCCATCATTAATTTGAGAACTAGTAAAATTGTAATTAAAACATCAAGGGACCCCGAAGAGGTTTAAAACAGGAGAGATGGTAGGGCACAGTGGCTCATGCCTGTAATCCCAGGACTTTGGGAGGCTGAGGCGGATGGATAACCTGAGGTCAGGAGTTCAAGACCAGCCTGG